GCCCAGTACGTCGGCGTCGGGTCATTCATCGCCATAGGCTCAACCTCGGCGTGTAGTCACACCACGCCGAGCTAGCTGTACAATGAGATTCAAAACGCAATTCTACCCCAAAAACGCGGCTGAACATAAATCTTTGTCCTTTCGTACCTCCTGATCTGTTTAGTTCTGGCACAAAATGTAGTAACAAGAGTTGTAGATCTATATGAGTACTACAACTTTTCTTAAAGGTTCAAAGTCTGATTTGGTCTGGTTGGAGAGATACAAGGCTCCAAAGTGGGGTACAAGAAAACTGAAATCCTGAATTCAGCCATCCAGACTTAGCCAAATTTTGAGCTCCCCAAAACAGTCTTGGATTCCAACTTTAGGGCTCGTTTTGACTTTCTTACAAGCTTATCTAGCTCTTGGTCCAAAAACAAAGTTTGTTCTACTCCACTCAAACTTCAACTTTTATTTAAGGTGCAACTCCATAAAAGCACTGTAAGCAATTGGTCAACACCGGTCAAAATAGCATCACGGTAAAGCTCAATTTAGAGTTTTTGACCGATTGAGGCATTTTCTTGACCTTTGCTCAACATGAATCATTCATGACTTTTGTTGTAGAGTTCATCTAGAGTCATTTGGGTAAGGTTACAAGGTTTGGTTGATGACACATGTTCTCATTCACTTAATAAGACCATTCCAACAAGGATATAACTTATCATTTCATGTGACTTTTTGATTCCAAACTTCATGAAACTTTTCCAGTGACTCTAGCAAGGAGGCTACCCCCTGCTAAGATCATTATGTTGTTGGGGTTGAAAAAGATAAAATGATATATTTTAGTTTGTACTTATTGGATTGAAACTCGCATGATATATTGATATGTGACACTACTTGTTGTGTGATGGCTGTAGATGGATAAATTAGTGAGGTTGCATCATGGAGGCCGTATTGTTAGGACAAGAGATGATAGTTTGGAATTTCTGGACATGTGTGAGGAGTTGTTGATTTTTTTTGAAACACCATCTTTGACCTAGTTAGTGGAGCGAGTGAAGGTTAAGTTAGGCTGGAATGAAGGAGACGTGCATGTTCAGTTTGATACTTGGCTCAGATTTTAGCAATCACCAAATAGCTATGTGAAGGTACTCTCATTAATGGTTTCTAACTTAGCTCAATATCCGCTAAAAGTTGTGAAAATGCACTACTGTAGGAAAAAAGAGAGACAAGGAGAAAATGATGGAGCATTAGACAAGGAGCGAGCTAAAAGATCCAAAGACTTCATATGCTTCTTTTGTGCATGGACTATGTATGCATTGGACCTTATGTAATGCACTATGTATGGACCTTGTACTATGTTTGGACTATGTTGGATGATTGATGAAGCATATGTATGGACTATGTATGGATGTTGAATGTGTTGGACCTTATGTATGTATGGATGTTGAATGAATGTGTATGTCGGTGTGGTCATTTGTTATGTGAAATTATGTATGCTCATGTATTCTGTGTATTATACGCTCAGTTCATTGTTTTGGTGAACCCAGGCTATCGGCGTCAATTGAACACATGCCGAGGGTGGGCACCTCGGCGTTTAGTCAATTGACGCCGACCCCTGGTACATACTAGAATCCTTTGCCTCGAAGCGACGAGGTGCCCAAGCTCGGCGTTCCGTAATTTGACGTCGAGCCGTTAATCTCGGCGTGGGTCGACTCAGCGCCGAGGTTCGGCCCAAACCTGGCGTGGGCTGTGGGAATCCAAACCCTAGGGTTGGCGTGGGCCGAATCAACGCCATGGTCTTCTATCTCGGCGTCGTCCGACTTGACGCCGAGCCTATAAATCATAAAAAAGAAAGAATAAAGTATTAAACTAAACCTTTGGTATAGGTTGAAATCCTATTTGCATGATTCAAATGAAAAATCTTTCTCAACGATTCCTCTTCTACTAACACGAGTTATACTAATAAGAGTAGACATGCTATATTTATGTTTGTTCCTGCAGGGAAAACTGAAGATTGGTTCGATTTCAATCCCCTATTTTTAGAGAGAGTCAAATCTTTTTTTCAGTTTGGAAATCAACCATAGTACATGAAACTTAGAGATAGGTAAACTGTAATTTATGAAATAGCGAATGCACAACGATTACACTCACATCAAAACTAACAATGGCATGTCGCAAACTAAACCTAGCATGCCTTAGGGGATTGAAAGAAACAAGTGATACAGACGTTGCAAAGGTACTACGATTACACACTCACATGAAAACTAACAATGGCATGTTGCAAACTAAACCTAGCATGCCTTAGGAGATTGAAAAGAACAACTCATACAAGCATTCCACATTCGGATTGACTAACAAAGGTTGGTCCTAATAATGCTCCCACATATTGAACTGATTTGCGCCTTCCCCATAGTATCCTCCAGTTGACGGCGGCGGTGGCGGTGGAGAAGGAGGCCCGTGCTTCTTATGGTACGGGCACTGGCAGTTCGGATTATTGCATAGTGCCTCCTCTACATCATTGCTGTTGTCGTCGTCCGACGTGTCCCTGTTACCACTTCTAGGGCCATACTCTAGGTCAAAGATGCGTCCCTGTAGATATGTGATGTACTGTTGATGGGGATAGATAGGAGGAGAGTCGACCCATCTAGTGAAGCCACAGTTATCTGGACAGCTTGAATCCTGAAAACCCATCTACCAATAAGTACTACTACAAACCAAATGCAAATCTAAAAAAGGAGAGAGTTCAAAGGAAATACAAATCCTCGCGGGCATCTGAAGAAACGACGGCCTCCACCGTCACAGTCGTCGTACATCTGCACAACACAATCCAAACCGTGGCGGCATTTTGGCCAATCTTCAATGCACTTGTCGTATGATCTAAGAGGTCTCTCACGGGTGAAGTCACTCTTCCTCTCCAAAGGAAATTCCTCTATTTGTTCTTCAAAAGAATCAGGACCCAGAGAACCCTCCCACATAATCGGAGGTCCCTTCCTCACCCCTTTCCTCTCCCTCCGCCGAAACCCTTTCCACTCGAGCAACATCCGCTCGACATTTGCTAAAACTAAACCAGAAAACAAGTTGTGTGGATGTGGACCAAGACATGGAGTACTATATATAGAGATGAAGGCAGGTTCACCATGAATGCTACTTGATAAAAAACTTGTGTGCGTACTCATTTATTGAATCTGCAAAGGCTAGATGCTTCATCTGAAAAGCCTACAACCATGACTGGTCATTTCATCTGAAAAGGCTACACCTGTGTTTTGTCACTTCATCTAAATGCAGTACATCACTCTGATATTAATTGATTGCGTATACGGATACAACAGTAAACGAATCTAGGCTTTTTAGTGAGTTTTCAAATAGACTTTTCATTGACTGCAACAGTACTTGTAGCCCTTTCAGTGAATGCAACAGCACAAGTAGCCTTTTCAGTGATACAAACAGTAGCACTACAGTCCTAGGATAGTTAACAAAGTATAGGGCATGAGACCATCTGAAATAAAAGCATAGTGCATTACAACATAATAAAAAAAAGTCCAGTAAATAAGTTCATCTGAAATAAAAGCAGAGTGCATTACAACATAGTAAAAAAAGTCCAGGGCTACACGACATCGCTCATGAATAAACCAAATACCTACTGAGTGCAACGAGGCCACTTTCCCTTCCTCTGGGCATCGGGATTCTCCTCCATCGCTGCCTTCGCTCGGCGCACACGCTCAAGCTTCTTCTCCCTCTCCGCCCTGTACGCTCCAACACGCCTCCTTTCCTCCTCTTCCTTATGCTCCTTTTCTATAGCCTCCTGTCTGCGTCTCTGCTCAAACCTCTCCTTAACCTCCGCATCCCACTCCTTTAGTCCTTCTAGTTGCTGCTTGTCTGACTCCTTGATCCGACCCCCTGCTAGAGTCAGAGCTAGAGTAACTGGAAAAGTTTCATGAAGTTTGGAATCAAAAAGTCACCTGAAATGATAAGTTATATCCTTGTTGGAATGGTCTTATTAAGTGAATGAGAACATGTGTCATCAACCAAACCTTGTAACCTTACCCAAATGACTCTAGATGAACTCTACAACAAAAGTCATGAATGATTCATGTTGAGCAAAGGTCAAGAAAATGCCTCAATCGGTCAAAAACTCTAAATTGAGCTTTACCGTGATGCTATTTTGACCGGTGTTGACCAATTGCTTACAGTGCTTTTATGGAGTTGCACCTTAAATAAAAGTTGAAGTTTGAGTGGAGTAGAACAAACTTTGTTTTTGGACCAAGAGCTAGATAAGCTTGTAAGAAAGTCAAAACGAGCCCTAAAGTTGGAATCCAAGACTGTTTTGGGGAGCTCAAAATTTGGCTAAGTCTGGATGGCTGAATTCAGGATTTCAGTTTTCTTGTACCCCACTTTGGAGCCTTGTATCTCTCCAACCAAACCAAATCAGACTTTGAACCTTTAAGAAAAGTTGTAGTACTCATATAGATCTACAACTCTTGTTACTACATTTTGTGCCAGAACTAAACAGATCAGGAGGTACGAAAGGACAAAGATTTATGTTCAGTCGCGTTTTTGGGGTAGAATTGCGTTTTGAATCTCATTGTACAGCTAGCTCGGCGTGGTGTGACTACACGCCGAGGTTGGGCCTGTGGCGATGAATGACCCGACGCCGACGTACTGGGCCCCATGCGCCACCGTGTCGCCGTCGACCGGGGTCGTCCGTGACGTGGCAAGACCTCGGCGTCGTGTTAGTCGACGCCGACCCTCATACCTTGGCGTCATGTCCTAAGACGCCTAAAAATGATCTATTTTCAGCAAACGTTTTGGCTGGGGTCTTTTTGTAAAAAATGTTTTCAAAAGGGACCAAAATACAAAAATATAACAGCAACTAACCTGAGCTCTGGAAGACAGCAGCGTGTAGAGCATTGTGTGAGCTCGGCCCAACCGACGACGCGCCCTTGCACTTGATAGTCGTTTTGACTGCTTGCAACGATCTGCTCATGACCGCCAGATAAAGCGGCGACACGCCGGCGTTGTTCAGCTCAGCCACCGGTCCTGCCGCCGCCGACACCAGGGCCTCCACCACCATGTCGTATCCGTGCCTTGCGGACAGGTGCAGGGCCGTGTCGCCGGCCTCGTTTCTGCATCCTAGGATGCTCTCGCCGCAGTCCCGGGACGGCCCTGACGTGCCCCGCCCTCGCCGTGCAGTGCAGCGGCGTGTCCAGCGCCGTGTTGCGGTGAGACAGGAGGAGGCCATGCTCCCTGAACCTGTGGTAGAGCTCCTGGATCAGCTCGTCATGGCCTTTCTCCGCTGCCACGTGGGGAACAGTGTTCCTCTCCGCGCTCACTTCGAGTATGTCGCACTGTTCATGACGAATGCCTGAACACAAGTCAGTATATATAAGTTCACTTAGAATAGGTAAACCCGTAAGCTACCTAATGTCCTGCTTAGCTGCACTCATATCCACCTTATTATTTCATATGTTTGGCCTGTTGGGGACTTAGGATAGATTGTTTAAGGTAAAAGATTAGTTTTTTTTAGCTCAATCTAACTCCAACCAATATAAAATACGCAAACTCAATCTTGCATGCGACCGGTCGCGCAACCACGGCCGCTGCGACGGCCCCCTCTTCTTCTCCACCTTCGACGGCCTTGGAAGGGGCTCAGGGGGGACAAGCCGGCCCATCAGTGGGGATGGGAGAGATGGCAGCGAGGCGGAGGCGGCGGCCGGGCCAGGTCAGGGCAGGGGCACCCATTGCTATGGTAGCGGGGGATGGGGGAGGAGGACGCCGCGCGGGCACACTAAGGTCTCGGAGCTCCGCGGCCGCAACAAAACCTTATACATCAATCAGATGCAACAAAAGGTCTACTTAATTAGGGACTTCATGTGTGTTCTTACCAGCAGCAGCTTTGCCATGATCTCTCGCGGCGCCCTTTTGATGGAGAAGCAGCTCCTCCATGACCTCCTCCGTCCTCCCGCTGTAGACTGCGAGATAGAGGGAAGGGCACATGCTGATGAGCAAGTGTGCAGCATCGTCGTCATTGGGCTGCTGCCTCGTCGGCTTCGTATTATTTGCCGACGACGAATCACTTTTCGGACGGGCGAGCTGCACGCAGTGTTGCCGGCGACGATCCATCGGATCGGATCAAGCTGCTGGTTACTACGCCGTTGCTGCTGGAGGGTAGACGGTATGATGGGCAGCTTCGTGAATATATACAAGACGATGAAACCGCGCTCTGGATCAATCACACGGTTAAGACTCCAGCTAGATGCAAATATTTGCATTGTCTTTTAAGTTTGTATGTACTGCTACTAGCTTGTAGACAGAGAAGAAGGGCGGCAGAAATGAAATGCCAAAAGCTTGTATCATTCGACCGGCGGCCTTGTTTCCCTTGCTGCTGGATGTGCTGGCCATTTGACCAGGTCGCCACCGTGGTACAAGAAAAGGCTCAGTCCTCAGATCGATTCCTGGCGCCCAGCCAGGGTCAAAATGAACTCGACTCCACTTAATGTGAACACCATAACAATAATAGTCAATATATGTGTGTGTATATATATATAGAACTATTATCCTGTAGCTGGCTATAAAATAACTTATCATGTAGCCACTTTGAGTTACGATAATTACTATGTTAAGTGGTTTACTATAACGTTATGATAAATATCCTCTTATGTTATAGTAACCCAACTATCGTAAATATGTATTGACATTATCGTAAATTATTATATAAAATTATCGTAAATGGAGGTGGCTACAGAATAACTTATTTTATAGCTGGCTACTGAATATGCTCTCTCTATATATATATATATATATATATATATATATATATATAAAGTTTTCTCAATTTTTTCGAGATCATACCCCAAGGCACGTTTTTCATTAAGCAAAAGTAGTGTTTTAAGGTCACATAGGACTCACGAGATCCTAGGATTACTCGTGAAATCCCAGACACAAACAAACAACAAGAAACATGCGGGGGACCTCCACCTATGAAACCCCAACCAACTATGCCTGCAAAACTAAAATACATCCACGCAATGGCTGCCAACATAGGCGGTGAAGCCGTGGTGGCAAAGCATCCACCAGTAGAAGACCAAGCATCCAGCAGTAGGGCGGCAAAGCATCCGCCAAAGGCCACAGAGCGGCAAAGCATCCGCTCGAACAAGAACCACGGCGGTAAAGCATCCGCTCGAACAAGAACCACGGTGGCAAAGCATCCGCCTAAACAAGAACCACGGCGGCAAAGCATCCGCCCAAGTAGCGATCAGCGGCAAAGCATCCGCCCCGAGCAACGACGACAGCAAAGCATCCATTATAGAAGAACCGATGACGGCAACACCAAGCAGGCTGGACAAACCATTGCGAAGACGAACTTGAAGCACACACTGGCATAGCACGAAGAAGCGGCTCTGGAGAACGGAAGATGGGCTGCAAGTGCTCCAACGATGCCTTCAGGAAAGACCATGACATCCGTAGATGCCAACATCGCTGGTGAAGTGCATGAGCAGGTCATGCGACCCAGCCTGCCCCGATGAACAGGATCTTCGACAGCGCCTCCAAGAAGGCAAATGACGTGGCTGCGCCACCGCCGCCGGCCCGGAGGAGTCAGGCACGGCTTTCACCCAGAAACTGTAAGTTAGTAGGAGCAGGCCACCCATGCACCTGCACCATCAACACCAACTACCCGCCGGCAATCCCGACCATCAAATGTGGTAGTCACACGCTCAGCAGGTGGCTCTCCAGTCCTGGCCCCGGCTGCCTAGAACCAACAGGGCGCAAGCGCCCCAGCCCTGACCGACAACACCAGGAGGCCAGGCCATGTGGAGCAGGCCACCGCCAGACGGCGGCCAGCAAAGCCACAAGCACACCAGGAGGCCCAAAGTCGCACACCATGGACCAGCCAGGCGCGACCGCAGGCACTCCAGCCAATAGATCTGGCGAGGGAGAGGCGCCAGAAGCCAAACGTCGGCCGATCGTGGCCGCCGATGCGCCCCCGAAGCCGCTCCTGCCGTCCAGAGGAGGTCATGGCCACCACGCTGTGCCCGAGCAAGAGCAGCCCTGGGCGGCGCAGATCTGGCAAGGGGGTGGCTAGATCCAGCCTTAGGCGGCCCGGATCTGGTCCACTGGCCAGCCCGCTCGCTGGAGAAGCTCAGGGAAGAGGTAGGTAGGTGGAGGGTTGGAGCTAGGGGTGGGAGAAAGGAAGGCTGCGACGGTGGGCTCCTGTGGGCTGCCGCCGCCACACGCCAGAGGACGGTGGTGGCAGCGGCCGGAGAGGGCACTACCCCAGATCTGGACATCACTACCAGTTCAAAAACCCCCTTCATTGTCGGATTTTGAACTGATAGTGGCCTACCGGCAGTGATGTGGGGTTGACATCACTGTCGGTTCTTAAAAACCGACACTGATCTACAGGAAACAATGTCGGTTCCTGGCTCCACCCGATAGTGTCTAGTTGAACAACACTGCCAGTTTGTAGTCCCAACCGACAGTGATGGTTGCTTCAAGAGTGTCGGTTCTTGGCTCAAGCCAACAGTGTTGAGCAAGCCTACACGGTCGGTTCATGGCTCAAGCCGGCAGTGTTGAGAAATCCAACACTGTCGGTTCATGGCTCAAGCCGGCAGTATTGAGTAAGAAACCACTGTCGGTTCATGGCTCAAGCCGGCAGTGTTGAGCAAGACAACACTGTCGGTTCATGGCTCAAGCCGGCAGTGTTGAGAAATCCAACACTGTCGGTTTGTTGATAACCGACAGTGATGGTTACGACAATATTGTCGGTTCATTGCTAACCGACAGTGATGGCCCATTCACATTTTATTGTTTTATAATTGATTTTAATTTATATTTTTTCATGGAATCGGGTTTCGCTTTATATACGCTACGTAGACGACAGGTCCATCAATATTAAACATTACAAATGTTACGGTTATAGTTCAAATGTTCTTATCCAGATCTCGATCCCTCAAAACAAAAAAGAAATGTTCTCGGACTTCACAGATTGTGCATTGCTTCTCGGACTTCTTACAATAATCTGGCGAGCCGCTCTGGGCCATACTGGTCCTTGTACCTCATGGATTGTTCAATGGAAAATACTCCATCTTTTTCCAATACCTCGGCTAAGATGAACTTTGAGAGCTCCAATTGCAGTGCGACGATCTTCATGTCTAACAGCCTTTGGTGGTTATATTTCTTGCGCTGTCGTTCAAAATAGATGATATCCAAAGAGGAACAGTAAATTATTTTGTTGAATTATTAACAGACACAAATGAAATGGGGATTATACACACCAACTTATCGGCTTCTTCTGATTTCCCGCCGATGTAGCGAAGCATTGCCCACATTACATAAAACCCGCATTCATTGTTTCCCGCCGACTGTGATAGGTACTTCCCCTCCATTTCGACAACCTTGAATGGGACCGGCGTCCCACCAATATGTCTTCTTTGGACACTGAGCAACATTAAAGGGAGAAACATTAGAAAGCGGTATGTGTGATTAGAAAATAATATGTTATTAGGATCGCTTACTAATTCGGCACTGCCACCAGTGCATCCAGATGATGAAATGGTTTTTTCTTCGAGTCCCACACCTCGATCAGATTTTTGGCAAGATTGACACAAATGAAGACGAAATGGTTGCTACAATCACAGAATCCTAATTATCGAATAATCTTAACGAAAAAAGAAGCATAAAATTAAAAAGCCGAGAACACATACTCGCAGTTGTAGGCTAGAAGTATGTGTGTTTTCTTCTTCATCGTGAATTCATCAAAAACAGCAATCAATCTCTATTTCAGGTCTTCCACGTCACATCCATAGAGGCCTAGACATGTCCTCTCATTGACTCGCAAGGGGTCCAAGAAGTCTATGTAATCCCATTTGCTTTTTACAATGCAAAATTTTGATATACACCTACATAAAATCATGGGAAGTGCTCAAAAGTTAACAATTTGTCTCGAGAGAGTAGTTAATTATAATATCGCGCGTGTAGGGTACTTACATAGTCCACAGCATCAACATTTGAACATCGAGGTCGTGTTTCTGGTATAGCTGGAACAAGCACTCCCACTCGACATCGAACTTCTCTTCTTCAGGATAATGGAAAGCATGTGGCGAACGGATAATAACCTCAAAACCAAAGTCGTCCGTCTCTGTTGCTTGAGCCATGTAATATTCATGCAACTGGCGCATATAAGTTGTCAGATTTTTATAATCGTCATCGGGAACCAAAAGATTGCCCCTTTGATACTTCATTGCCGGTGTTCCCGTCCCTTGTACATCATAATAGATGTTCGCGGCCTCTTCCATGGTTAATCCTAGGTTGTCTTCAACGTACTTCTGTATGTTCCTTAAATCTTTATTGTGTATTTCTTCATCTCTTGTTGTAGCGTATTTATTCTGTGTTTGCCTTTTGAATTTGGACTTCAACATATACGAAGGCAGTGAGGCACAGAGATTGAAGAAACTAACACAATCTTCCTTCGAGATGTGTGCTGTAAATTTTTCTTTCATCAAGGTGGTAACGCTGCCACTGAAAGCCTTTTTCTTTTCTGTTGGTCCACTTTGGGAGCATTAGCGACCGAATCCAAGGACCTTTTCTGCGACTGCGAGGATGTCCTTGATCTTGTTTTGGGCTGAGGTGGAGGAGGAGGAGGATGACAACAAGAATTATGTTTTCTCGGCGCTGATGAAGATGGAGGAGGAGGGGGAGGAGGAGGAGGAGGAGTCTCTTTTCTCGGGGCTGATGAAGATGGAGTCAGACGAGGAGGAATAGAAGGAGACCTCTGTCTTCTCGGGGGTGATGGCTCCGGATGAGGAGGGGAGTGATCTCTGTTGGGAGATGGTGAGTGATCATCACGGGTGGGCGAAGACTCGTAGTCGTCCTCATCATCAGAGGACAATTGATGGTCAAGCTTAATGAAGCGCTTGCGCCAGGCCACTTGAGAGCCCTTGTTTTGACCAAGTTTCGGCCTGTCTTCCACTACGAGGTACTCAATGGGTATCTTGTTAAACTTCTTATCAAGTATTCTGTCAATGGTGACACAAGCGTACCCCAGTGGATTTAGGCAGCCATTAATTGTCCTGTCTCCCGTAGGCCAGGCCTGGCCGAGCACCACCTTGTCCTTTGTCTATTCC